CCAGGGTGCTGCGCAAGTACTGGTGTGTGGCGGCCACGTGCGTCCCGCCCGAGCGCCTCTTCGGCGCCGCGGCCAGCGTGGTCGGCGCCAAGAGGAACCGGCTGGCGCCGGCGCACGTGGACGAGCAGGTGTTCCTGTACGAGAACAGCCGCGCCGCCGCGGCGGAGCCCGAGCCCGAGGGCGAGGACGAGGGGGACTGGGGGCTGGACCAGGACCAGGCCTTCACGTTCGGGGATGCGGTGCACGGCGGCTTCTTCGGGGCCAGGGACGGCGGCTTTGTGTAGCTGCGGGGTGCTCAGGAACGCGGTGCAGCGGGGGTGCTTGGCTATGGACATGCTGACCCCGCGGATGGCCGTGCGCGCGTGCACACGGGGAAGTCACAACGACAAGGACGAGGCCAGGCCGGGCTCCAAGGTGGCGCCCAGTAGAAGGGACACTCGCTTCCATAACCGGCGTGCGCATTGTAAAAATGCGGCCCCGCCAAAAGCGGGGAGGGCGAGGGACTTTGGGGTCCGTGATTCCCACACCAGCTCCCCTTACGGCCTCGCCACAGGGTCTGGGGACACCTGAGGACAAGTCACACCTGTAGGCAGAAGAGGATGAACCGGTCCCTCCGAGTGCCCAGCACGGTCTGCGGCGCGCCGGCGCTCATTACGAAAGGAACACGTGCGCGCGCTCCAAGGGGGAACCCTGCGTCCCGGTTGCGTCAGAGGGTCTTGAACCAGACGCGACATGGCATTCGCTGTGCGGTAACAGGTGTTCAGAGTGACTGTGGCGTGGGAGTGCATATTAAAAACCAGAAAAGTGGTGTTCAGTGTGTTGTTGGTATTATTGTCTTTTCTGCCATTCGTGAGTCTTTCCGGTCCCCGGGAAGAGTTCCCTTGGGTGACACGGTCCTTCCAAGTGTCTTGGCGCTTTGGGCCCGAGGTTATTTCTGTGTCTGACTCTCAAAAGGTCTGTTTTCCCCAGAGTCCCTTTTCTTTTCTTTTTTTTTTTGTAAGATTTTATTTATTTATTTTTTAGAGAGGGAAGGGAGGGAGGGAGAGAGAGAGAAACATCAATGTGCGCTTGCTGGGGGTTATGGCCTGCAACCGAGGCATGTACCCTGGCTGGGAATCGAACCTGCGACACTTTGGTGTCGCTCCCAGCGCTCCAGCCCGCGCTCCATCCACTGAGCTACGCCAGCCAGGGCTTAGTTTTTTATTTATTTATTTTTTTTGGAAAAGCAGCTGCCTCTCTTCCAGAGGCGGAGGCCTGTCTTCCCGTCCGGGTGCGTGTCCAGATGGCATCCACCCCGGTGAGCCGTGTGGAAGTGACCCATCTCAGCACCCCGCCCACCCCCAACCGCATCTACGGAGCTTTAGGGAGGAAATTTCTCTGCCTTAGTGGCCGGCGACGCCCTGGGGCGTGGAGCCCAGCAGAGTGGCGTCTTTCTGTCACCAGCTGCCCGTGCGTTTAGGAAGTCAAGCGTGGGAGAACGCGGTGTAAGCCGTGCGTGCTCCGTGAGGGACAGTGCCCTCTGAGCATTCCCGGGAACGGGCATCCGGCTGGGGCCAGGGCCTCGGGGGCTTGGGGACTCGTCCTTTCTCTGCTCCTGGGCTGGCAAAACCGACCCCAAGCCCCAGCTCCCCCCCTCCCTGGTGGTTCTCCTCTGGAAACACACACAGCCCCCTTTTAGGAAATGCTGGACTTCCGGTCACTCGGAATAAAAATGTGTGTCTCTCCCTGGCTGGCGTAGCTCAGTGGATTGAGCACGGGCTGCGAACCAAAGTGTCGCAGGTTCGATTCCCAGTCAGGGCACAGGCCTGGGTTGCAGGCCATGGCCCCCAGCAACCGCACATGGATGTTTCTCTCTCTCTCCCTTCCTTCCCTCTCTAAAAATAAATAAGTAAAATCTAAAAAAAAAAATCTTATTTAAAAATGTGTGTCTCTTCCTTTTTAAAGGAATCTAATTTTTTTTTAAAAATTATTGATTTCAGAGAAAGAGAGGGAGAGAGAAACATCGATTGGTTGCCTCCCGTGTATGCCCTGACCGGGGATCAAACTCAAAACCTAGGCACGTGCCCCAACTGGGGATCGAACCTGCAGCCTTTTGGTGCACGAGGTGATGCTCCAACCAATTGAGTCACGCAGGCCACGGCTTGTGTTTTTCGTTTTTTTTTGTTTGTTTTTATGAAGCAGGCTATAGTATATGGCATCAGCTTAGACTTTATTTTTATTGTTCACTTGTTTTTTTAAGACTTAAAAAGGTTTCTCAGCCCTGGCTGGCGTGGCTCAGTGGATTGAGCGTGGGCTGCAAATCAAAGCGTCGCAGGTTCGATTCCCAGTCACGGTGCATGCCTGGGTTGCAGGCTGTGACCCCCAGCAACCGCACATGGATGTTTCTCTCTCTCTCTCTCTCTCTCTCTCTCTCTCTCTCCCTTCCCTCTCTGAAAATAAATAAATAAAATCTTTAAAAAAAAAGGTTTCTCCTTCGAGATCACTGTAGAATCCCATGGCATTGTATGTAAGAAGGTGGGTGGAGAAGCCTTGCAAGTTTGCCGCCGGCACCAACACCTTGCAGAAACTGTGGCGACTGCATCGCACGAAGATGCCGATGCAGAAGCACCTCGGGCGCCTTGCTCGGCTGCACACTGTCTCTCCGGATCCATGGTGTCTTTAGCTCGGTGCGATTCTGCCACTCGCGGCGATTTGCGAATTCCCCGTCGCCATGTCAGGACGCACAGTAGCTCTGTCCGCACCAGGAGCCCCTGGTGGCCTTGCCGTAGCTCCACCCACCTCCTTTCCCTCATCCCCCCCCCCATCACCCCGGCAAACACGGATACCCTCTCTGCCCCTCCTCCGGCTTCCTCAGGTCAACCGTGCCTTATCCGTGGGAGCCCACGCCACGCACGGAGCCCTTCCTGAAGCCGCTTTTCAGATCCCCCGTGGGTTCATCCACGTCATGGCTGGAGCAAACGGGGCGTGGCGGCCCCCTTCTGCGTAGGGGCCCGTGAGCCGTCTCCCGTAAGCCGGCGAGGGTGCCGGGATAAACGTCTGCAGTGGATGTTGTTTATGTGTGTGTGCGTGTCCCCGGGGCGGTGCGCCGGGGGCGTCACTTGTGGGAAGCGGGCGGCGGGCTCAGCACGTGCCCAGCTCTGCGTAAACAGCCGTGGCCGAGGAGACACCGTCTCGGGGGAGAATTCATTATGTGTGTGAGCCTCCCGTGTTTTGGGGTGCTGGGGGGGCGGCAAACCCATTCCAGAAAGCACCCTGCTGTTCTCATGGGTGAAGCTGCTCCTTCATTGCCAGTGAGTTCCAACATCATCTTCTGCGTCTGTCTTTTATCCGGCACCAGTGAATGTCTTTTCCTTAGTCTGTGTTTTGGGGTTTTCTTACCTCTCTTCTGATTATTCTTCCGAGAGCTCTTTCTATACCAAACAAACAAACAAACAAAAGGGTCCTTTATCATAGAGCCTGCCTCTTGTCTGTGACCTACGTTGTTTGTGCCGATTTTGGCTCTACAGAATTAACCTTTTTTTTTTTATGTGGTCAGAGGGATAGAATTTTTCCGCCAAGACTTCTGCCAGTTCCTTAGAAGGGTCATCTTGGCTATGAAATCATCCATCCTCCCCCCCAAAAAAACAGCATTGGACACATTTTCTTCTCTTTTTAAGACTGAATATTTTTTTAATCCTCACCAATGGATATGTTTATTGATTTTTTAAAAAGATTTTATTTGTTTATTTTAGAGAGAAAGGGGAGGGAGAAAGAGACAGAGAGAGAAGCATCCGTGTGCGGTCGGTTGCTGGGGGTCATGGCCTGCAGCCCACACATGTGCCCTGACTGGGAACCGAACCTGCGACGCTTTGGTTCACAGCCCACGCTCCATCCACTGAGCTACGCCAGCCAGGGATTCAAGGAAAGTTTTATTATCATGCAAGTATTACTCATGGAGGACAAGGCAGTTGGTTCCGCACTGGTCCCAGGACACCCAGGGTCGCGCGGGGCGGCACCGGGCTCCATTGGGGGGACAGAGGGGACCCAGAAACGTGGAAAGGACAGGAGCCTGCCCTCCCGTTTCTGCAGGAGAGAGTGGGCAGGCCTGGGACTGGTGGGCTCCCAACAGTCTGTCTCTCTGGCGACCGCCCAACCCTGGGAACCTCAGCCTGCGATGCAAGTGGCAAGCTTCTCCATACACGTTTGGGCACCTGCACGCACAACTGGAAAAAGGCTCAGTGAGATCCATACCATGTAGCCCTCGCCAAAAGAAACGTCTACGTAAGAAACGTCAAACAGTGAAAACACTATAACGTCCCAGTAAGAAAAGTCTTCCTTAGTCCAAGTCCACGTGGAGAGGAACAGACAAGTTCTACTAATGAAAAAAATTTTTTTTTGCCCTGGCTGGCGTAGCTCAGTGGATGGAGCGCGGGCTGCGGACCCAAGCGTCGCAGGTTCGATTCCCAGTCAGGGCACATGCCTGGGTTGCAGGCCACGGCCCCCAGCAACCTCACATGGATGTTTCTCTCTGTCTCTGTTTCTCCCTCCCTTCCCTCTCTAAAAGTAAATAAATAAAATCTTGGGAAAAAGAAAAAGCTCATCTCTTTAAAATAAATAAAATAAAATACAATAGAACTTTCCTTGAACACACACATGCCTACAACACAGACTCCCGGAGCTGCCCGGGGTGGCGCACCCCGGAGTCTCGCCCATGGCTGTAGGCACTGCCCTTCGGGCCTTCGTGCACACCCTTGTGGCAACATATTCGTGGCATATTCCTCCAGAGAATGGCAGAGGTCATGGGGACAGTGGGGGCCAGCAGCCTTGCTCGGGGGTCTTTCTCCAGCTGAGACCACTCAGGACTACCGGTTGGCATCCCGTTCACGCCGCCCAAGGGGGTGGCAACACAAGAGGAACGCCGCCCCCAAAGGTCATAGCCCGCTCCAGGCACCAAAACCTTGCCAATGTGCCCGGGGCTCCTGAGCCTCACTCCGAATTTTCTTTTTTTCTTCTTGCTGCAGCCTTCCCCCACCAAGCTGGCCGGGTTGCCATAGTGACGGGAGGCACCGAAGGCATCGGCTACGCTACCTGCAGGCGGCTGGCGCGGCTGGGCATGCACGTGGTCATAGGTGAGGATGTGGGTGCTCGTCCGTGGTGGCTGGGGCGGGGCCCGGAGGCGCGGGCTGACCCCGGGGGCGGTGACTGCTGGTCTGCTGGGAGGGAGAGCAGAGGCGGAAGGCGTGAGCAGTCGTGTTCGAGAACTGAACAGACGCACAAACGAGGACCTTCCTTTGGATACGGAGATGGGCTCAGTTGTCATGTGGATCATGCGTTTTTGTGGGGGGGGGGGATTCACGTGGGGGAAGAAAAAAAGAGCAGTGAAGCTGAAGGACTCGGCCAGAGCCGACATAACAAACCACCCCAGACACAGCAGCTCAGAGAAGAGACGTTTCTCCGTCCCTGTCCTGGAGGCTGGAGCCTGACACCCAGGGGCGGGCAGGGCTGGCTCCCCCTAAGGCCTCTCTCTCCCCTGGGCGTGTGGACGGCCGTCTCCCCCCTGTGTCCTCCCACGGGCGTCCCTCTGGGTGTGTCTGCGTCCCCCTCTCCTCTTCTTACAAGGACCCCGGTCCTGTGGGACCAGGGCCACCCTAGGGAGCTCATGTCACCTAAATCACCTCTTCATAAAGTTCATTTCCAAATGCTTTCCCATCCTGAGGTCCAGGGGATCGAGGCTCCGACCTGTGAATTGTGGGGGGGGCGCCGTTCAGCCCAGGTCAGAATCGGAACCTGTTTTTAGACCAGCGGCTCCTTCCGTAGCGACGCCTCACAGACACTATCGTTTCCGTCCTTCCTTTCAAAAACCTCCGATAGCTTATCTGCGTCCGTCAGTCCTCTTGGAAAACGAGGAAATGTTCTCTGGCCATGAAAGCGGAAACCGTTCCGATGAGCCGTTTATAGTTTTGTGGATCGTCCCGGGCAGCCGGGGGTGGGACCGTGAATGCGCTGGGAAGAGGGGTGTGTGGGGATTAGCTCTGAAAAAAAATGCAAGTTGATCAGATCCTCCACACACGTGGTCTGCACAGAATTACTGCCCTCTGCGATGGTGGTTTTTATGTGAACGCTACAGAGTAGGTTTTGAGTGTTCAGAATGGCTCTCGCCGCCAACGGTCTGACCCATCAACACCCCCATTCACTCCTGTCTTCATTACCGGTTCGTCTCTTCCTTGTTTCTCTTTCTCCCCTGGTCCTTTCCCCGCCACCGTTTCCTGAAGGACAATGACGGGTCCACTGCCTCGCTTGGGGTGAGGACTCCCACACCCGTGTGTCCCAGTCCAAGCTTTTCTCTGACATCGATGTTTCTCTCCCCCCCCTTTCTCTCTCTCCCCCCCCTCTCTCTCTCCCCCTCTCCCTTCCCCCCTCTCTCTCTCTCTGTCTCTCTCCCCCTTCCTCTCGCTCTAAAATAAGAACATACATCCTCGGATGAGGATGTTTTTTAAAAGCAGACAGTGCCGTGAACACAGCTGAGCAGGCAGGTGCCACCCACAGCAGCAAGGACGGAGCGGTGGCTGTTATAACCTCACGCAGGTGGCGCCGGCTGGGTGTCGCCTTCCATGGCTGTTGGGCAGCAAACGCTTCCTGTCTGTTGACTTAAATGGAGAGGGAACCGTGCACCCTCACCTGCCCCCATGTCTGCTTCACCCCCCAAGCTGCTAACGCGTGCCCGTAGCCTCCCAGGTGGGTCGCAGCCCCGATCCCCGATTCCCTTCGATCCACAAAGCAGCCAGCCCCCGCTCCACCTGACCTTGAGTGGGTCACACCGCCCAGAGGCTGGCGGGGATGAGCCTTCACGCTGCACGCCCGCCCGAGGAACGGTCCCTCCCCGCCGCCCCGTCACGAGACGCCTGTGGTCACAGCATGGGCCGTCCGGGAGGGGTGGGGAGGGTGCAGGTGCCCCCACGCGCTGCTAGCACATGGTTTTCCAGCCTGGCGCCCGCGCTGGCGTCTCCCTGCCGGTGGGCACCCCGCCGTTTCCACGGTGCCTGCCGCCCCGGAAAGGGATGGTGCCACAGGCCCCCTCCCTCGGCCCCTGCAGGCTGAAGGACACCAGCCAGCAGCAGACAGGCGGGCGAGACCCAGATGCCCACGAAGCCATCTTTGGGCACGTGGGCTCCTCCCCGGGCGACCGGCGCACTCAGGGCACCTTTCCTGCTCCTTGCAGCCGGAAACGACAGGGCCAAAGCAGAGGCAGCCGTGCGGAGGATCAAGGAGGAGACTCGGAATGACCAAGGTAGGCGACCCCCAGCGCCCAGGGCTGTGCCTTCTGATTTTCAGATGGGGGGGGGTCACGCCCGAGGCTGGACTGGGGACAGGGCCGGTGGACGGGGCCTCGGTGGGCCGCTTGCACGGTTCCTGGGGGGATTTTTTTTTTTTGCATGCCGTTTTACAAAAATCGGAGTGAGTTAAAGCAAAAACGATGGGCTGAAAGAATCCTCCAGCAGGAGGCGCGGGTGCGAGACCCCTACCCGGGCGGGAGCCAAGGTTAGTCTGGGGCCGTGGGTGGCCGTGTAAAACGTGTCAGTGCCGTGCACAAGGACGGGGCAATAGCCCCTGTTGATAGTGCGCGGGGAAGCGTGTTCTAGACGGCGTTGTTTCCGTGACTCCGTGGCTGGCTTCTGCTCTGGGTGTGGAGAGTCAAGCTCAAGTGCAGAAGGGGTGCATGGAAGGGCAGGCCTGTGTCAGCATTTCCGTTCTGGGGGGTGGGGGGCACCGGGGCCGGCGGAAGGAGGCGGCGATGTCTGACCCCTCCGGGGAGCGGCAGTGTCCCCCTTGTCACGGCCGCTGCGTTGATGGGAAAGACAGAGCCTTCCGGGCGGAAGTCTGGCTGTGTGTCGTGTGGGTGAGGCCGGCTCTGCCTGGTCTCACCCACACGCTTCTCCGACGAGGGCGTGCGAAGGGCACGGCGGAGACCCCCGGGTCGCAGGCTCCGCGTGGTCTGGGGGTGGACATGGGGCGCCGGGACGGGACTGGACAGAGCTGGGTGACCCTGGGGTCCGCGGCACCGGCGGTCCGAGCGGGGGGCCCGTGGCTGGTGCTCACCATGCACGGCATGAATGAATGTGTCTGAAGGTCTGATCCCGGGGGACCACGGTCACTCCCACGGGAGCCAGAAGTCGGCCCCAGGAGGGGGTGGCCTTCAATTCCACACACACAGTCACACACACACACACACACACACACCCCGTGTGACTTCATCTCTATGTGTTCACGACCTTTGCAAGTAGCTTGCTAGAGGCTCCAGCTACCCCCCCACTTCTCTGGGGTGGGGGCGTCACCAGGTGGTGGTGGGCCGTGGTTATCTCCGAACACGGCTTCTCATTGGCTGAGTCTGCACCCAAGCTTGAAGCCCCGCCCCACCAAGCGGAGGCCCCCACAGCACGGGGACCCCTCCCGCGGACCCAGGCATCCCAGCGGCTTGGGGGGGCAGTTCTATGTCCCTGCCCCTCAATGGGCTGGACTTCTCTTCCTCTTGGTGCATCCCCGTCTCGACAGGCTGCGCCCTGTGCAGGCTGAGTGCCCGCATCTCCTGGCGGACACGCCGAGACTCTCCTCTGCGCCACCCCCACTCACCCGGCTCAGTCAAGGTCACGGGGAGCCAACCACCCCTCTTGTGCCTGTGGCTGCTCCAGGCTTCCCATGTCGGGCAGTCCTAGCTGCGGGGATCCTCTGTTTGTTTCGGGGGGCTCGTACGCACACACCCTAACAGTGACAGCATGCGAAGAACAGAACCGTTTCTACATGCTTCACACCCACCTCGGGTCCACCTTTCTCTGAACTTGACCCTTCTTTCTAAGGTCTCAGTGCAACGGCTTATTCCGTCGTCCGCTCTCTCCTGCTCCCCGCCTCTGACATCACGGGCCCCCGAGGTCCTATCTTGGGGGCTGTGGGAGGGTCCCTCTGTTCAACCAGTTGCATGCTGGGAGCGATACACTCATAACCGTCGCCGGGAATGTCCGTGTGGCACAGGAACCAAGCCAGACGGTTCCTAGCGCAGAGTCGAACGCCGTGTCCCACGGGGCCGTGGTGCCAGACCCTGAGCTGTTCCTCGGGAACTGCCGGCGGACGGAAGCTCTCGTAGTTGCAGTGAGTCGTCTCGAGAACTTGCCAAAGAATCAGAAAGTAGACACGAGGAAAGAAAACCGCAGGAAAACAAAGAACAAAAAGGCGACACGGGGTTCTAATGCCCTCCCATGCAAATACACACGATGTAGATACTCTTAAAAGGTCTAAGAGTCCTGTTTTTATTTTATTTTATTTTATTTATTTATTTTTAAAGATTTTATTTATTTATTTTTAGAGAGGGAAGGGAGGGAGAAAGAGGGAGAGAGAGAGAGAGAGAAACATCCATGTGCGGTTGCTGGGGGCCGTGGCCTGCAACCCGGGCATGTGCCCTGACTGGGAATCGAACCTGCGACGCTTCGGTTCGCAGCCCACGCTCCATCCACTGAGCTACGCCAGCCAGGGCTCATTTGAGCAGATTTTAAGGGCGATTGAGATGTGCCCTCCTGAGTCGATGGGTAGCTTCCAAAATATATCCTCCGTGGGTGAATGGATGAACAGAACATGCCCCGTCCCTATCAGAGAATATTATTATGCCGTGAAAAAGAAGGAAGTTCTACCACACGGTACAGTGCAGATAAATCTTATGAGCACGATGCTCCGTGGATTAAGCCAGTCACAAAGGGGCAGACACCCTATGACCCCACTTGCGTGAGGTCCCCAGAAGAGCCACATTCACAGAGACACAGAGAGCAGATGGAGGGAGCCCGGGGCCATGGGTGGGGGGTGGGCAGCTGGTGTGTGTTGGGGACAGAGTTTCAGTGGAGAATGACAGGAAATGCGCTGGGGACGGATGCTGTCTTTTACCACATGTTCCTTCCCATGGGGGGGTCCTCGACCCGTCCTGGCGGCCCCTGGGAATGGCACCAACAATGACTCTGTAGGAGTCACTGTCTTATGTTACCCAAGAGATTGTCACCCCCACAAATGCTGGGATGACAACAATATCCCGTCCCCATGGCACCCCCTCTGTCCTGCTCTGCCTCCGCTGATAGCAAGGTCACAGGAGCCGCCTTCTCATAATAAATTTTACTGGTTCAAGTGGAATTTCCAAGTGCCCAACCTCGCATTAATTTTTCCAAAGCTGCCGTTGTAAAGCATGGAGATGGACAAGATTCATAGCCAGGAAGGAAATTGTTTACAAAGAGCAGAAACAGAATGAGCCACAACTTGTAGACTACAGCGAAACTATGAAGACAATTTATATTGCTCTACATTCTTGAACTAATAAGAAACGGGGGAAAAATTATGGCTGGCTGAGCACCCAGGGGAAGGAAATGGAAATTGGGTTGTAGGCTGTGAAAGTAACAATATTGTGCAGAAATAAAACACTGAGTGGAAAGAACAGAGAGGCCACAAGGAAAATCAATAACAATTTCTTTAAAAAAAAGAAAGAAACAATAATAAATCATGAAACAGTTATTTATCTGCTATCACACATTTTTTAAGAAGCAAGAACCAATTAGTGTGACTTGGAACAAGGAAGAAGAAGTATCATACAATAAAAATGTGATTTATTTTGGGGCAAAAAAATTGTTTCTTGATTCTGGGCTAATATATTTGATATCTAGAATGTCTCATAAAAAAAAAAAAGAACTTTTTGTCCTGGCTGGTGTGGCTCAGTGGACTGAGTGCTGGTCTGCAAATCAAAGGGTCGCCAGTTCAATCCCCAGTCAGGGCACATGCCTGGGTTGTGGGCTAGGTCCCCAGTAGGGGGCGCATGAGAGGCAACCACACATTGATGTTTCTCTCCATCTCTTTCTCTCTCCCTCCCCCTCTCTAAAAATAAATAAGTAAAAAATTTTTAAAAGAATTTTCCCAAATCCTAGATGCAAATAAATCAGACCTCACACACAGATGAGCAACATGCTTAAATAGCACAAGTCAGGACTCTCTCGCCTGCGATAGAGTTCCTAAATATTTTCTCCAAGCCTCCAAGCACAATCCAGACCAGGAGTCTGCACACTGCACACGCCCTGTGAGAAATCAGGCCCTCCACTTGCTTTTGTAAATAAAGTTTTATCGAAACATGGCGGCACCGTTCATTCACTGCCTGTGGGTGTGTCTGCCCATGGATAAGAGTTGAAAATGTCACAGCTGTGTCTGTGCCCCTCCAGTGGTTTTCCTGCTCTGCTACCAGAGAGACCCATCCGTCCTGTGACTTCCCTGTGCCCTGTGTCGGCGTCACATTTAATTCCCGGTCACTGTCACCGTGCCTGCTGGGAGAAGCTCATCTGTGCTGTCTGTCTGTCTGTCTGTCCTTGGATATGGTCCTTCCTCCATTTCTAACTCCTCTCTCTGTTGAGCTGCACCTTTGCCACATGAACTCACCCCGAAAGCACCGTGCTTTCCCGGCGCCCCCAGGAAGGAGCTCCCTGGCGTCCCTGTTCGCCTGCGTGCCGTACTACCTCAGCCCCTGGGCAAGGGGGTCCTGGGAACGAGTTTTATCTGGTGCAGCCTTCGTCATTTTTCCGGCTTCCTTTTGTGTCGAGCACGTGTCCCGTGTACTCACGGTCCCCGCGTTCGCTGGAAATGCATTGTGTGGATTACGTACCGCCTCCCAGGGCAACGTGAAATAGGGAACTCTTCGCTCACTTCCCCTCCGCTTGTCTTAGAGCTGCCTTGGGAAGCCCAACGCTACCCTCGCGGCGGGAAGTCGCCTGTTGTGAAATACTCATTTCTGCGGCCACTTGCGTCATGAGATCCGCTGCGTCTGAGCGGGTATTTGCGTGTGGGGACAGCTGGGTGGCGAGGTAGGACGTGCTCTCCCGGGAAAGGCAAATCGGAGAGAATCGAACGGCTTTCCCATGTCCAGGAAAAAAGGAACGGTGTGGAAATTGTAAAGGGATTCAAGGGCAGTGGCTGGTTCCCTCCTTCCATCTCTCTCTCCCTCTCCCTCTCCCTCTCCCTCTCTCTCTCTCTCTCTCTCTCTCTTTCTCTGTCTCTGTCTCTCTCTTTTGAGCTGTTTTCCTGAAATCTGAATGAACGTTAATTCCACTCCCAATGGAACGTGTTAGGCAGGGGAAAAAAAACACACTTTGCAACATGGCTGAGTTTGAGGAAGGGACTCTTGAGCCAAGGATGCTGGAAGGTTCTAGAAGGTAGGAGACATCCCTGATTCTCCCTTGCACCCACAGCTCTTTTTTTTTAAAGATTTTATTTATTTATTTT